ACATTTTTAACAGAGTCGTTGAGTGCTAGGTTGAGATTATGAGCAGCGCAATGAACATAGTGGGCAAGGGGCTCCTTCTCGGCTATTCTTGCTTGCACGCCTGAATACACACCACTCATATTAGCCGCCCCATCATAGCCCTGTCCGCGACATTTAGACAGATCTAATCCGTTTTTCTCTATAGAACCAAGGATTTTGTTTTCAAGCTCTGAAGCTGATGAACCTTCAGTCACTTCAAAACCCAAAAAGACTTCATCTATATATCTGTTGCAATATCCATGTCGTTCTTAACAACAGTTATGTAACGGTAAACCTGACTCAACTGGTCTATCTTTGACACATCTTGCGTTGTGTCCATGATGACGGAATAAAATGGGGCTTCGTTTATTTCATCAATGATGTCAGCTTTCACACGTTGAGATAATATGTAAATAATCTAATCTTGAATCTGGTGACTGAGGTATTTCACTGACCCTTCTGGTCGGTTGATTAGCTCTTTCAAAACAGGGTCGTAGCGAGCCAATAATTATATTATTGACAAAAAGTTGCCAGCTTTTCCCTGACCTAGAACCTCTCGATGGCCCCTGAATGCCAAGTTGCTTGAAGCTAGAGTGAGAGTTACATTAACAATGCGCTCCACGACCTGTCTCCAAAATTGGGCGGCATTACGCACATTCCTCTCCATGTCAGCGTCTATTGTGCCGTTGGTTTTCCACTGCTCATATACTACGCATGCACCAAGGTGTATTTGAGTGGATTCATGCCTCTCAATTTTAGTAGAAAGATGTTTCCAGTCTTTTATTCCGTTTACCCATGCATTGTTGTAGAACGGTGCCTTTCGGTTGACAAAAAGCCAGCAAGGCTCACAGTAGCAGCAGTCCAATTGTGGGGAATAGCACATCCAGCTGCGTGGACATTTCATCCCAACTTTAGTGGTGGAGGTGTAATAGCTTTCTGAAAAGCAACGGTTATCCTTGTCTTTGGGAAATGGACCTTTGGGTTTGCATGGGCCCATTTTAAGGATATATCTTTTGATATTGGCGTCCTCAATGTTTTCAAAATAGTTTGCCCGATCAGTCGGAAAACGCTCCAGAGGATAATTGCAGGACACATCATGATCCGTGGTCTGAGTTTCACCCGTAGGCGTAGCGTGAGGAGGAGACCTGTTGCTGCTTTCATTCCCAGTGTCCGGTACTTCTTCACCTTGCGGCGCAGCAGGTAAGGAGCCGGAGGGGTGCGGCTGGTCAAGCGTCAGGCCTGGCTCTCCTCTAGACGAGCAGCTAGCAGCTGCTGAGTCGTCCCTATTATTATTATTATTATTATTATCATCATCATCACTACAGCCGAGAGACAGAAAAGGAAATAAGCTAGGCGGCCGAGCTACACGAAGTAACAACAACTATATGATATCAACATTTACCACAAACTCACATTTTCTTGTTGACAGTGTGTGTCCGTGATGGTAGCCAACCTGTAAATCTGGCTAACCCCCACTAACGTTGTTGGCGGGCTGGGGCTCGGGGATGAAACACTGCTGGCAGTGGCAACAACTTCAGGTTCATCTCCCGCAGGAGGAGGAGTAGGGCGAAAAAAATATCCATCTAGCTTGGACAATTTGGCCTTTTGGTCCTCCTTTTTATCTTTTTCTTTGCGTTTTGTAGCTCCACTTTTGTGTGTATAACTGCTCATGCTTAGGCAGTGCTCTGTTGAATGACAAGTGATTGATGATGACGTTGACGTTCATTTACGTATGATGTTGATGGACGGCTGTTGATGACGATTTTACCCAAAATACATTTGGAGACAATAAAAGGGATTCACTTGCAATTTTTCATGTTTTAATGTTAAATGTGAGTGTGAAAATAGCAGCACAAGTTCAACTCATATTATAGGCTACAATGCTTTATACCTAATATGACCACGAACGTCAGTGCACTCAGTGGCGCGAGGCAGCAGGGCCCGCCGGCGAATATCTCGGGGGCGGAGCCTGCTGCCTCGGCGACGGGCCCCCATTGAGTCCCGACCGTCCCGGGCCCGGGGAGCCCTGCCCCTACAGCCCCCCCTGAAGCCCCGCCCCTGCATGTAACGGCGTTACGTAATCAGAATACAAAAATCAAGTAACTGTATTCAGCTCGCGTTACATTTGAAAAACGAGTAATCTGATTACAGTTACTTTCTTAAACCTGAAGTGAATACATTTTGGATTACTTATTGGAATTATTGGTGGAAAGATTTCCTCACAACATTTAATATTCATTACTAAAGGTACAGCCGAATCATCAAAGCCCACAAAACCTATTACCGCCGCAGATGGACCAAAAAAGCGTTTGAAAAAAAATCGCGGGTCCGCTCAGTGAAACAATAACAACGAAACATGGAGGAACAAAAGTCTGCGTTTAAATCGCGTGTGTGTGTGGTTAAAACACATCAGCCTGCGGTCGCTCTTTCTTTAGCCTTACTAATGATTATTTCTGAAGGTAAACACAGTGAATGCGGTGCGTGAAAGGCACTGCGTGCTCCTCTTTTCAGAGGCTGAGTTAACCCTCCCGCTGCCTCCTGGTGCTGCAGAGATTTCATGAAGTGAAGGAGGTGTTCCTTCTATAAAACAGCTGCGGGCAGCAGATACTGTGAGAGTCACGGACATGAATTCATAGATCAAGGCAGACTGGTGCACACACTCTCCTGTTTTGCCAATCCGGTGCTTAAACAAATATAGCTCTACACCCCTGGCCGTAATGTCCTTAAAATGAAGTCCGAGTTTGACATTTTAATTCATGTCCTGCCAACACTGGCAGGACAGAAGGCGACACGCTCGTTCTAAGCCGTGTCCCTCACTCCTCACATCCCAAGCTGCATCCCCAAAGAGTTTATTATGTTGTTACATCATTTCAGATGTTATGTTTCAGTTGTGCTCTTGATAAGCCATTACAACAGTAAAAACACGTTCAGTTTCCTTTTGCTTTTTGTGTCTCCTGTTCACCAAAACATACTCATCTGTGATGGAAAAAGAAAGTAATCCAAAAGTAATCTAAAAGTAATCTGATTACGTTACTTTTTTAAGACACGTAACTGTAACTGTATTCGGATTACTTTCAGAGCCATGTAATCAGTAATCAGTAACTGATTACATTTACAAAGTAACCCTCCCAACCCTGGATGTCAGTGACGAGGAGCTCCGCCTATATGGCCAACTCTCCACCAAGCAGGGGAATGAGAGGTTGCCGTGGCATGGTAACAGCATGGTAACATGACGCTCGTAACTCGGCCCCCTCCTTTGCAGGGGGGCGTGGTCAGCTGCAGCGCATGCAAGTTGCATGCAAAGACAGGGTGGAGGAGAGGAAAATAGAGCAAAATGAGGCATGGCTAAAATGCATGATCTGTTTGGTATTTTGAAAAAAAACAACGTATAAATATACCTTATATAGGTTACGGCCCTACAATATATTATTCAAATATAGCATGATAGGTGTCCTTTAAATTGACACAAACATTTGTTTTTTTGCCAGTATAAAACCTCACCACTTTTCAGAAGCCCTTAGAGATAAGTATGAAGCAAGGACAGGAATCCTTTATCCTTAACGAATACAAGTCAGGCTGAAGGAACTGTCAAGCTTCACTGCGAGTGACCCAGTGCACTGCAGGTTTTTGGGACGACTCTTATTATTGAAAGAATAAATTGAGGTGGAGGGGCAGCCTGCCACAATCAATAAGGAAAATATCTGTTACTGAGTCAATCAGTGAGGCAATTATTGCACCATTAAATATAATTCCACCACAAGAATCCAAGGATCCCATGTCATGTTTCTCCATTCACTATAGTTCTCAGCTGTGATGGTGAAAGACGACTCTAAAGCTCCAGGGTATTGCAGAGACAAGGGTCGGGGGAGACACTGTTATTGAAATCACTAAACGTTTTTTAAGTGCGCGACAATGGGTTTTCCACGTGGCTAAAGCTCCTATGTTAATGTCTAATTTAAAGTGACAGCATGTCACATGTCCTTAATTATCTGGCGACGTTCCTGTTACATCTGTGCGAGCAGTCTACAGGTCTGATGAGGTGAACACATTTCAAACAGATTCAATGGAGATGGAATCACATGCAAATGTTTTTATTTGAGATATTTTTTCAAGAATTTGAAAGTTGTTGCAAGGTAACTGCTGGGTATATAATTGTATTACCTCGGAAATGTTCTGTGCACAATATCACAGTCAGCCTTGAGACATCTCCTGACAATCTTTTCACAATCCTCTCCAATATTTGCTACATTATATGAGGGGAAATGGCTCTAGACACACAATGTAACCTGATCCCTTCAAACCCCAGTGGAAATGACATAATTCAGGTGAATGACACCCATAATACTACATATTGATTGAAATTCCCAACCGAACCCTATTCAAATGTACTACAATTGAATAATCTCAGAGGACATAAAGGGAGCACACAGAAATTAGTTTTTTGAGAGATGTGTGTTTTTCCAGGGAATCAAAATAAAGCATGCAAGTAGGGCTTGTTGCACAACAACACAACACCTCAGTTATATGCTCATGTTATTGCTGAAATTACATTGTGACATGTGATGCCAAATAAAGCAATATATGAGGATTTGCTTTACAATCGTGAATTGTTCCAAAGTTCATTCAAAGTTGTATGAATATGAATACAACAAGTGTTAAGCCTGCCTAGAAATAAAGTGAATGATAAATGCAGATAAAACAGGAAAGTGCAATAAATCAGTGACGTTACTCTTGTGAGTTGGCTCTTTAAAGGACATTCTGTGATATTGAATTACATTTATTCTGTATATTCTATGTGCACTGGAAATGAAATCACAAAGAGCCCTCCGGTGACAGTCCCTGGCACTGATGTGGACGCTGACACTGTCTGTGTCCTGTAGACCTGCCTCAGGAACGCACTGTCGAGCCACAAGATGCGCACTATAGGAGAGCAGTTTGGGAGGAGCTTCGGGATGTTCCCCCTTGTTTCACGCCACTTTGGAGTGAAGACTCGTCTGTAAAGGGAGATATAGGAGAAAAGGTGAGTGCATAACTACGTGGGTAGCGCTTATTTTGACTTTAAATGTGTGTTCCGAGGTTGCTTTATTGAAAAAAATGTATCCCTGAGGAAATAGATATTACATTCTCTGTTATTCTGCTCAGCGTTAGTTGCTAAAACTGTTATATGTGCGTAATTTGGATATGAGAGGAACCTTTGAAAAGGAACAAGTGTCCAAATTGCGTACCACAGGTGATCATTGGTGTTGGAGGCAAACGATTTGCAGCTGTCTAGTCGGTGAAAAAAAGCTTTGAGAGCTCACTTGGAGATATTTGAATGCGCACTATTCAGTAAGTTAAACAAATGGCGACAAATTACGCACGACCGAAGCATCAATGATATTTGATTGGGACATTAAATATCTCATTAGAATGTCATGGCAGTGCGTATAATTCAGTATAATATAACATTCAGTTGAATTGCTCCAGCAGGTGTATCATAAAACGTTACTCAGTGCCACGAGCTTTGTTAAAGTCATGTTTAACCTTCGCTGATCAGAACGGGTGGTTTGACAGATTCCTGATGCATTGTGAAGTGCACATTTCGCCTGCAGTCTCAATGTTAAATCCCTGCTGCCGGCTGGTGTGTGACAGTCTGCTACGCGGACAGAAGGTACAGGTGTAGGATTTTGGGCTCATTGGCACTGCACACTGTAGGCCTAGTTGTCATTAAATACGTGGTCCCTAATAGATTGAGAGTCATTACACAGTGTGTGTGTGTGTGTGTGTGTGTGTGTGTGTGTGTGTGTGTGTGTGTGTGTGTGTGTGTGTGTGTGTGTGTGTGTGTGTGTGTGTGTGTGTGTGTGTGTGTGTGTGTGTGTGTGTGTGTGTGTGTGTGTGTGTGTGTGTGTGTGTGTGTGTGTGTGTGTGTGTGTGTGTGTGTGTGTGTGTGTGTGTGTGTGTGTGTAAATACCTTTTTCACCTCGAAGACAATTGCAGAGGACCATTTGATTAATATAGCTTCTAAAATAATAATAATACATTGTATTTATCAAGTGCTTTATCATACCTCAAATATGACAATATCAACCCAACAATACAGCCAAAAATGATTTACTCTCTATTGTCCTTGATGAAATTCTTATTTGTGAATACAATACTGAAAAGGCAAAATGTATGTCTAAAAGTGTGTCAAACAATATGCTACAAAATCTCCAGAGCAACAAAAAAAATGTAACCAAAGAAACCTCTTACTGTTGTTCTGTTTGTCTCTGTGTTTAGAAACAACTTGAAAACGTAGTGTTAGCTTTGAAATGTGTTGAATTAGGCATATGAGCACTCACAATCTTAAAAAGTGTTCCGTTTTGAACAGTTATATCAAAGTAATTTAGATTTGTTGAAAGCCTCTGGTCGATTCTAATGTCACTAAATGTAAAAAACCTTTATTTGGTTAATGAGGATGCAGCAATTTAGCAGTCAAGAGTCAAAATTGAGAGTAGTTTTAACACATGCCATCACAAAATGTTCTGTCTGTATTCAGCATGGAGCTCTCAGTCTCTTGCAGGTAAATGGACAGTAATGACAAAATAATGAACTATAGAAAGTACTGAGGAGAAAGAATATATTTTATACTAAAATACGGCTGTCTAACATGGGTCAGCACGGACCTTTATGCAAGTAATTACCACACAGTATTCCCTTTATGAGCTGCCAACTGAGTTTGAAGGCAGTCGGCAGCTCTAAAGATAGCTATGACTGCCTGACATCTTCTGATCACATTTAGCCTTTATCATGGCACAGGTGTCTCTCCCTTGGAGAAACAGTGAGCTGTAAACAAACCAATACTTGTACCTAGGCCATGGTGGATGCAATAGATCTAGGTAGCATTATGCTCTGTTTTTTGGGAGGCACACATGTGTACAAAGAGAGCCATTTCCTTCTATTTTTCTTAGCTTATTCAAAACGTCTACTTCCTTAATGAAAGGCTGTTTAATTGTTCTATTAATTAGGCTGCATGCATTAGAGAATTATCATATCTCCTATTTTGATTAATTACAAAACGGTTTTAATAACCGTTTGACATTTACAATGCAAACTACCCTTTCCAGGTAATATGAAAAGAATAATTAAACGGTTCGGTATGGGATCTTTTAGTCAGTTTGTCAAAGCTCTAGCAGGTGAGATGCAGACCCTGAAAATACATTTGAATGACTGGAAGTATCGTACAACATAAAGAGAAGAAGAGAATATTCCAGGAGTCATTAAGTAGATAACAAAAACAGCACAGCAGCACCGTAGAAACCCTGGGAGCATTTCACAGCAAGGGTACATCCGGCTTTTTCAGGCAAAAATGAGAGGAACTCTTAGTCTTTTGGTAAGTGGCTGCCAATGAGGGATCATGTTACTGCTTCAGAAAGTCATACTTGTTGTTTGGGACATCTGCACAGAGGGGGGGGGGGGGGGACGACGACACATAGGAAGACATGTGTATCCTAAAGCGTTATTTGCAGTGACAAAAAACATTTGGAATTCTAAATTGGAGAGCAAATGTTGGGAATAAAATAATTACCTCATAGCTCCGGCCTTTTTTTACATTTGACATGTTATTTTCAAAGGCTTATTATTCAGGCTAGATTGTGTCAATAATTACATTTGATGGGTTTTCCCCTCCTCAGGTGTCGGCACAGCCTAAATCTATCATCTGACGACAGAATGAGCCCTCCAGACACATCCAACAGCACGAGCGAAGGGGAGGCTGGTGAAACAGATCCCTGGTTTCTTCTCAACAACAGCATGGGTTTACACACACCAGGTTTCCACACAGACATCACCAAGCACATTGGAGTCCAGATCACCCTGATCGCAGCATATTCCCTAATCATTCTGCTGGGGCTTATGGGAAATGCTCTTGTCATCTACATGATCATTCGCTACAGAAACATGCGAACAGTGACCAACTTCTTCATAGCAAACCTGGCCCTGGCAGACCTCCTGGTGGACACCCTCTGCCTGCCCTTCACTCTGGTTTACACTCTGCTGGATGAGTGGAAGTTTGGGGCTGTGTTGTGCCACATGGTGCCGTTTGCCCAGGCCCTGAGTGTGCATGTATCCATCCTGACCCTGACTGTCATCGCTCTGGAGCGATACCGCTGCATCGTCTTCCACCTTGGCCGGCGCCTTACATGGCATTCCAGCTTTCTCATCATGACACTCACCTGGACTATGTCAGCAATCCTGGCAGCGCCCCTGGCCATCTTCAGAGAGTACCGCCATGAAGAGATCCCTTCCATCAACCTGCGTATCTCCGTCTGCTCTGAGAAGTGGCCCCACGGGACCAGCAGGGACGGGGTCATCTACAGCCTCTCAATGCTGCTCCTGCAGTACATCCTTCCCTTAGCCATCATCAGCTATGCTTACATCTGCATCTGGGTCAAACTGAAGAACCATATCAGCCCGTCCACCCGTAGTGACAGCATCAGACGCCGCAAAAAGACCACCAAGATGTTGGCGCTGGTGGTGGTGGTGTTTGCTATCTGCTGGCTGCCATTCCACGTGTTTCAGCTGGCCAGTGATCTAGACCTGGTGCTCAGGTTTAAGGAGTACAAACTCATATACACAGTGTTCCATATCATTGCTATGGGTTCGACTTTTGCCAATCCTGTCCTGTATGGGTGGATGAATAAAAACTACAGGAATGGCTTCCTAATGGTGTTTCGTTGTGAGGATAAGCCAGATGCTTTCCACCCCGAAGGCTCCTTCAGGACACGCTCCTTAAGAAGGCTGACACTGAATGGCCGTAATGGTGGACATCCTCCAACTGCTGTTTGAGATTAGCACAATTTAAAATGCCTGTAGGATGTGACTGAGCACATTTAACACACCTCCGGTTTGTGGTGCTTATGGTTGAAAAGTAGTCTTTTGACTTGAATTGCCTGATTATGAGTATATCTGGGACTAGAGAGGGCTCAGAGCTTTGCATGCAAATTGCTTTATGTAAGGCTTTTCTTTCCTTTGTGAATGGTACTAGTTAAAACACATCTGTCTAACCTGTTCAAATACGTAATTAGGATGTTTACTAGGCTGTTAGAGAACTTGGTACAATGTAATATGTGTCTCCTGTAACTGCAGAGCTGTTGTTGATAAGTTATGTCCAATTAATAATGCATTCCATTGCAAACATTGCCTGAAGCTATTATTGTGTCCATACCTACTGAAGGGTAAAAGGTTAATATTGTGAACAAGTTTTGTTTTTCTCACTCGTTCTTCTATTTGTTGAGTTTCACATATGCTGCATTATGGATTCACTCAAAAGTCCTTGTAGAGTAACATTCAATTTCCGACCATGTCCATCTAGAGGAAGTGTTGATCTGTCCAACCAGGAAGTTAATTGTGTTCACCTGGCAACCAGCTGTTCTCGATTAGACGAACCAGCTGTGTCCAAAGGAATAAGACTTTTTGGTATTTTCGTCACATGTGTGCAGCTGCTTTGAGGATATGTAGAACAAGGGATTTGGATGAAGAAAAATCATGCAATTATACATTCTACACGCTGCTCAAGTGACCTTTGTGGTGGTCTGTTAATAATGAACACGACAGCATTAATCAACCACACTGCCTCTGGACATATAGTGAACACCCGCTGTACACATAACACATCAGGAGAAGAAATTATATGTGTTTCAATTAAGAAAAGTTTGGATGAGAGGATTAAGTCGAATATAAAACTCAAAATAGTGGCATATTCTGAAATGTTTTCAACACATCTATACATGGATTACTCTCGGGGTCTGTGCCGTGGGTATACACCCTCCATACGGTAATATAGGAGAGACGAACGACAGCTAAGAAAATCCATCTATAGGAGGGAAGACAGTCCACACAGAGAGGGGAAAAATAAGCATTTGCATAATTGAAATGAATCAAAGTCCTGCACAAAACATTCAGACTTCATTTTGAAAAATAAAAATAACTAGTGGGTCCAAATAACATCAAATAAAGTATTTATTGAACACCCAGCTGCAGTGTGATTCATTTCATATAAAAAAACATGTATTGATTTTGTACTGCTGGTTCTTGACACCCACATTACTAATGCCCTAGTTTAGCCTATGTTTTTTATTTATGTACTGTAGATAATTATAGAAATTCCTAGCCTTAATCGAGACTACTAGCAGACAAATACTGAGCTTACACCCTTGGCATCAAACCGTTTGGGCATTAGAGCTAATGTGTGAAGATTTGGCTGCAGTCTGGAGATGTATTCAGGGATGGTTTTAATATGCGTGAGAGATTATGCATCTGTCCTAAAGTATAGCATGCTGAAGGGGGTATATCTCCAGAAATAGCAAGACATGGTCATATTAAAAAGAGAGTTCACCCAAAATACACAGTTTCCGTTTCCCTGTAGTTATTTATCAATCTAGATTGCTTTAATGTCTGCATTTTTTTTTCGTTTGCTTTTTCTTTTTAATAAATACTTGGGTTTTTAAGGAATACGGATGCCACTTTTAAGGTTTTGGGCAAAATTACATGATATTTGACCACAAGAATCCGATCAAAATCTACATTTCAGGTAACAAATCCTCTCTCATGCTGTAGTGCATTTTGCACGGTTACCTGCTTCCCTCTAGTGTTCAAAATGGATATTGCATCGTCACCACCTACCGGATATGTCGTCTTCGTTTGACCTTCTCTCCAGTTTCACATGATTTGTCGGTGGCTGCCATGGTGGCTGCACGGTGAAATCCATGCCGACAGGAGTATAACATGAAAATACCCAACTTTTGAATGTTGTCGCCTTACAGGTAACCACCTTTGCCTTAGGAATGAAAGCAGCAATTTACTTTTTGAATGTCGATGAATAAAATCAATGTCTTTGCCATTCATTCATAGAGACTGCTTCATGCTAGGCTAGCTCATGCTAACTAGGAAGCTTTGCAGTGCGGACGTGACAAATGTGACATAGGCTACATGTTATATCTGTATCTATATTATATTATTGTTTGTGCTCATGATGGTCGCTCAAGGCTTATTTTGAGCAGTTTCAGTGTGGTATTTAAGAAGTATTATTTGAAAGACAGCTGTCATGTAGTCTGAAAAGTTCTGGAAAACGTGTGTCTCAGGATTTATGACAGATGTAAAACATGTTTAAACAAACCTATGTAATACAATGTATTTAGTTTAATATGACCTTGTCGACATTAATGGTCAATTGGTTCAAACAAACACAAATGTTCTCGAATCTGCTGTCCAGTGAATTCCGGGCTCCCGTTGTGTTTACCTGGGGGGGGGGGTAAACTGCAACTTCACTGCACTGTTGTTGGAAAGCTAGTTACATAAACGTATGAAACTCACAGGCTGTATTCTGTGTCTCCACAGCGTGGCCACAGTAAACCCACGGCACCATGGTGAAGTATTACTGCTGCGCAGGTATGCTCAAAAGCAGCTGGGACCAAGTCTGTGTTGCTTTCTGGCAACGATATCCCAACCCTTACAGGTGAGCGAGTCTGCATTCAGTGTTTCCTCTGCTCCTCGCATACACTTATCTATCCAAAAATTGCAAAGCATGAAGAGTTGGGATTATGTGTCTACATTTCTATACTCAAAGTGGTGAGAAGTAACTGAAGTGTATTTACTCTAGCAGTGTTCTTAGGTATAGGATTTAGGTACTTCACTAGTATTTTAGGGTACTTAACACTTTGAATCCACTGCAGTTTAGATGCTTGTTTCTTATGTTTTTGCACATTGATTATTAGATAAAATATGTAATCCAGTGATGTGATATAACATCATTCTGTCACCTGATGAGAAATGTAATCTTTAACACGTTAAGTCCTTTTGTATGCACATAATTCAGAACTGCTGCTAAAGTAAGATGATTAATGTTAGACTTTTACCTGTAATGGAGCATTTCTATATTATGATGTTGCTATTTCACAGTGAGTAAAATACTGAGGGATTGGTGTATGATATTTGCATTCCTTTAGGTTACTTATTTTCATATATGTGCTTGCATAGATTAAACAATATGATTTAATTGAAGAAAAATATACTTTATTATAAGCCCACAGCGGTTTTGTATTGTTGTGATCCTTATCTTCTCCTTCTCTCCCACAGTAACCATGTTTTGACTGAAGACATAATTTTCCGAGAGGTTACTCCAACAAACTGCCTCGTTTCCAGACGTCTCTTGACCAAAACGAGCCGATCACCTCGCTGGATGGAGCCCTACCTTCCAAAGCAAATGTCCAGCTCGGCATATATCATCGAGGACTCTATTGTGGACCCTCAGAAAAGGACCATGACCACCCTCACATGGAACATCAGCCACGCTCGACTCATGGTACCACAATGTTTGCTTCCACTCAGCATGGCACAAAGTAACAACAGCCTCGTGATCATTTTTTTCTCTTTTTTCTCTCTCTGTTACAGTCGGTTGAAGAGCGGTGCAAGTACTATATTAACCCTGAAAATGGCAGCTGCACTGAGATAAAGAGAGAAGCTTGGATCTCTACCACCATCTATGGGCTGTCAAGAGCTGTTCAGGTCAGTAGAGTAAAGTAGAGCTCTGTACTATGTAACAGATCAGGGGAAGTGCTGAGGGGGTCTGAAAGGAAGACTCACCCATCTAACTTTTCATTAGGTAACATAATACAAAGTGTTCAGATGTACAAGTGGAGCAGCTGAAGCTGTCTGAAACGACTTAGGTTCCTGATTGATTTATCACAGAGTTAGCTAGTGGAGCCTCGCAGATGGGGGTGCTGCAGCCCCTCAGCATCTCCCCCTTCCCGCGTCCATTCGCGATGTCTCGCTGTCTCGCAGACCCCACGCAGCAAGCAGGAAATGAGCCCAGCTCACATTGTCCGCTCCTCGCAGCAGCGAGCCCCGGCAACGTCCCGCAAACACGGCACCCAGACCCCACGCAGCATTCTCATCTGTTTGTCCTTACTGGTGTCACTGTCTGGATGCCAACGCCATTGTAACACATAATCACTGTAACGGTGGTGGACTCATCAGAACAGAGTGGCCGAGATGACCAATCAGAGCACAGTGGGCTCATAGAGAGGGGGGGGGAGGAGCTCCAACAAGCCGTTTAGGACAGAGAGTGAATACACATACTATACAGAGATGCTGTTTGAGAAACCAATGTGAGTTTGGAACATTGGACAATATAAATCTATTCTAGTAGACCTCGACAATGGAATTATGATCAGTAGAAATGGCCAAGACATGGACCTTTAAGTATTTTCAGACATGGTAGTACGTGTGCCGATATGAGGTGTAGGTTGTTGACACAAGACTTATGTCAAAGTGCTTTTTAAGTGTTGGCTGACTGTGTTCTCTTTCCAGGAATTTGGTCTTAGAAGGTTCAAGAACAGTGTAACAAAGACCATGAAGGGCTTTGAATACGTGTTGGCCAAAATGCAAGGTAAGTTGTCAGTTATAATACAATGCATTAACCGCATGAATAAAAGCATTGCTAATTATTTTTGGAAACACCTTATTTTCCTGCAACGACAAGTCACAATATCTGCAATGAAAAGGAATAATTAAGAGGTGCTCTGATGCTAGGTATTTTGTTAAGATTCAGTTTAACAGATGTAAAGTAAAAGATGGAAACTTTGAGTAAAATAAAAACTAGGTTATGCTCTTTAAGCAATCTTATCAGTCAAGTCTAAGAACTGGCCATTTGGGTGTAGCTTTCCAGCTGGGCGTATCACTTTAAAACCATGTTTAAATCCATGTCATAGAACTTTTTATAAAACATGTAGTTTGGATGTAATGGGGCCATACTTGTCAAACTAAATGTTTATTTAAAAACTGTTAACAAATCAAGGCTAATCACTCATTGGATATTTGTCAAGTTCAATTTGTAAGAAGACAGTTTTATGTGTTAAAATAACAAAAATGCACAATATCAGTCTCTATTGCGACAGTTTAGTCATTCCAAAGTTATGGGCTTGAATACATAAGGATAACATTATAGTTTGGTATTTCAAATGTACCGGCATTCGTGGAGTATTGTTGATAAAAACCCTGTGATTGACACACAACAAATCTAAAAGTCGGTGCACATTAGTAATTAATGTTATTTATTACACAATTCGGAACAATGAAGTGTTATCGTAGGTTTTCCTGCGCTACATAAATATCTATACCATAGCCTTATTATAACATATGTCCTATTTTTTTAGGTGAAACTCCATCAAAAACCTTAACAGAGACGGCTACGGAGCGAGCGAGAGAGACGGCCCTGGCAGCTAAGGAGAAAGCCAAAGATCTGGCCTCCCAGGCTCAGAAGAAACAGTATGTGTGATGTGTCGATCACCGGTTCTTTACCACTGATACTAAGACAGATTTATCTATACCCTTTTGTTTAGTCGAGCATTGGGGTAAGACAAACTGATCCCGGGTCATTGGGTAGACACCTGACCTCTATGAGGAAGCATCGTAAATGGTGGGTGGACCATAAAAGGGCCTGAGCTGGGTTCAAGAGCCTGTTCCAGCCTCCTAAAATATATTGTACTTTTGATACCAGATCATCTCAGTATTTACCGTAGATAGAGATCTCAGAGGAACGGCTGCATATGGCTCCAGGTGCCATAAAACAATAATAGCACTTTGCCAACCTTGATGCCGTTCATCAGACCTTTGCTCAACCTCTGTGCCCTTCATCAACGTTTACTTTTTGTTCTGTTCCTGTTAGTCCGTCATGTTGTTTTCTAAGAGCTTTGTATTATTAACAGCTTTTGTTCTCATGCTAAGATTAGCATACCACAAGATCTAATTCATGTGTATGATTTACGTTTTATGTTTCTCCACAATCATGTTATCTATTAATTTAGTTGAGTTCACCCAACCACACCTTAATCATCTTAAACCTGATTACTTCAAGTTGAAGTGCATTAACTGGAGAAAGGTCCTTATAGCTTGATAAGAAATACTCCCTTGTGGCAGTATCTGGTTGCCGTGGACATCAGTGTCTTCGCCTGAATTTCAAATGCGTGTACAAAGGCAAACATGTTACCTTGTTTTGTGCATTCAGTTTAGGTGTGATGATACAACCCATATCAGCTCGCTTACTGTGTTGATTCAATATCAACTTGTCAATAAATGGACTGTTCCTATGTAACCATCGTGCTGTGATGTCTTTGAATAAGTGGTGCCTCGATATACTGGGTTGCAATTTCCAACTAAGATCATGTTTATTTTCCTGTAATATTACTTCTTGTCAATTACTATATATACTATTACTATATATACTATTACTATATACACACCTTTTTTATAGAGAACAAGGAAAATCACTCTCAGATTGTACTCAAAATGCTTAACGAATGCAAAAAGGTGACAACGACCATTACTTTGTTATAAAGCAGGGGTGTCAAACTCAAATACAGTGGGCCAAAAAAAAAAAATGGGTACTAGTCGAGGGCCGGACTGCTTCAATGTTTATTGCGAAACGTATTGAAATGAACTTATTGCACATATTAAACCTGGAACTAACAAAGCTTAAATTATTGCCTATAAAAACAACATTAAATCATCAGTTGCATTCATTTCTTATGGCTCTATCTGCAGCTTTTCAGAGTCATTTCTTATGAGTACATTTTTCCACAGGCCAACAACAGCTTCAACAAAACAATTCCCCTCAAAGAAAAACCCAAACATGCCGTGTTGTCGTGAGAAAGAACGTGCAGAAGGAAACATCCATTGAAACTCAGTTTGCTGCTCTGTGATAATTAGAAATCATTTCTGAGAATCACTGTAAACAAAAAGGTCCTGAAACTCGTCATAATGCCTGTTTGCATCATTTCAAACACCATTACTGTCTTATAGGGTCATAAGTACAATGTTACAAACTGTTGAGTTTCATAACTGTAAACCAATCAGTCCATGTAAAAAATGAAACGTCACATAAATAAGAAAAATATTTATTCATTAAAAATGCTACATTATATTACTGGGCGGAGAGATAGATGAATGCATACATACTATTGAAAAAGGTAATAAGGCATCTTGCATATACAAAAGTGAAGTGAAAAAGCACCTTCAGTTATTAAATATATAGCAAAGAATATGATACATATTTGTAATACAGCAGCAATTGCATAATTACTACAAGTTGACGTTACCTGCCTGGCTGGCGAATTTGTATCGTATATCGACAAAATGCACAATCGCGATCTTTTCCAGCTCATCTTAGAAGTGAATAAAACAAACTGTCGTAATACCTCTCTCACAATGCATCTTCACACAGGCAACAACATTCTTGCACTTGATCACAGACTGGATTGTCTACAAATACAACACATTTATATTTGCCCCAGTTGCCAGATATAAATGCAAATATGACCAGTTTATTTCAGATGACTGTTTTCATTTTAACATACCCATAATCTTTTGAAAACATGTGCAATGTGTACGTTTTGTGCAACAGAAAAAAGACATGACTGAATTTATATAATGGAAGACGATAATACAAATCATAGCACAGATTAATGCTTAAGTGCGGGCTACACATGACATAACAGAAAATGAACTTAGTGCTAAAGGAAAGCTGTATGGTATACTACATCAAATCTGATTTAAGGCAGAATTCAGTAATGACATACTGTAGTAAAGAATAAGTTAAGAGATTAAAAAGCCCTCATTTGGATTTTAAAAAGCCCTTACAGGCAAAGGAATACGCCCTTAAGAGATGAATGAGTACAACTTTTGGATTCATTAAGTTAGACACAGCTTGGCTAAGGTAAGAAATGCCAGAAAAAATATATGCGCAAGGTTACATCCATCCCTGCCCAGTGATTTTAACTGCTTTTCAGTGCAAAATGGACACAGCTCATTCACACCATTATTGTTTAGCGTGTACATAATTTAAAAAGAGAATGTCACAAGTTACTCCATTTAAAAAAGTGTTCAGTTGTACAGTAACATTTTTCTCCATTTTCCTCCGTTGGCTTGTTTTTGGAATGTTTTTCTCCTCTTCTTGACGTCAAACAAGTTACTACTGTCATAGCCAGGCTTTGTCCATGCTGGAGTAACAGTGGTCTGCATCAGTGTGCGTAATGCTCAGTCCGTCAGAGTCCACACAGTCGAACACTATGCCTTCCACGTCCACCTCCACGTCCTCTGTAAAGGGACCGACAAAACATCAACTCCATTAGTGAAAGAGAAAAAACACGATGGAAATGTGTGAAAAGAACATACAAAAATATTCAATGCATACACACAAAGATCATTTTGTTAACTTGTGTTTTTTTGGTTCTTGCTTCAATCATTTGGATGAAAGATTTATGTAAGTTAATAACAAAATACAAATAATAACATCACAATACTTTTCCTTGAGGTTGATAACCTGTAATATTGAATACTTTAGTTTCAATCATAATATGTAAAATGTCCACATCCTAAACACCTATTAATGAGTAGACTACACTAATGTATGATTAACAAATACGTTTTGACAGCAAATTATTTGTGGACATGTTTTTTTAAGAAGGTTTCTCTCTCTGTCTTTTTTTTATAAATCCTTTGCTGGAATTTCTAATTCCCATTAGAGCAGAATCACAGGGGTTTGAATGTGACAGAATAATGATCAAATATAACCAAACCTTTAATTGTACTTCAAGCTATAAAAGGCTGCACATTACTGTGACTACGCCTGGTTGAGAGGCTTGGTACGTACCTCTGTCAGAGTCCGACCTCTCGGACGACATGGTTGACCCATGACTGTCGTTCCTCATCCTCTCGGAGCCTCTCTGCAGCTGCTCCAGCCGCACCCGCAGCTCTCTCTGCTGCCAGCGCAGACGGCCCTTCATCTGCTCCGCACGCTCATCCTGGTCCTGCAGCTTCTGAAATTGAAAAAGAAGAGATGGAAAAGTGAGCAGGGGACTAAATATGTAGACCCAACTTTAGACGTATGAGCATCTATCAAATACTGTTAGCAAATGCACCATGATATCAGGACAATAACAGTCCCATTATCATGTTCTTAACTAGGACTTCTATGAGTCATGGTGTTGTGTACCTTTATGTGCAGCTGGGCTCGTCTCAGCAGGTTGAGTGTGGTGTTCCTCATCGAGTCAGATGACAGAGGGACTTGCTTCTTCAGCTCCTCTAGGTGGTGCCTCAGCTGAGCCCGTCTAAAAAGCACAACAGATGTTATTTCATGGAAGTGAAAACAGGCTTTTCAAGATTGTCCTCTGCCTTTGGCCTAGTATAAAAGTTTGTTTTTTGATACACTTGTGATATAATCTATTGTTCATGACAAAATAGTCCATACCTGTTTTTTTCCAGCTCGTTGTGAACCGACCTGCATGTACAGAAAAATACAGTTTTGTTAAGCTATGAAATATGTTCATGTTTACAAATGCATAACCACACCCTTTTTGTCAGTTGTCTGTTATGCAAGGTATTCACCTATTGCCTCCACCAGCAGCAGATATCTTTCTGTTCTTCTGTTTGCTCCTCTTGTCAGAGTCATCTGGACTGAGAGGAAGGAGTGAAGCATATCCATGTTCTGCCTCTGTGCAGGAAAAAAAACATCACAACGGTGTAAGAAAACTGTCTGAAATTAAATAGCAACGATGTTAAGTATAAATATAAAGTGATCCCATTATCATCGGTAATGAAACCTAGTGCTATAAATGATCATATAATACCTAATCTCTTCCTAAATCGTAAGAAGAGGAGGACAAAAGCTGCTGTCAACAGCATCATCAGCTGGGCGTTTTGTTTTTGGCGCCATCACACCGCTCTTTCACTTTTATAAAACGACTCTTTGTAGCCTCACAGGCACAAATGCAAAATAAGATTTTACATTGTTTTAATAGGAAATGAAACGTTGAGTTTAGCGTTGTCCCTTTCTCACTTTCATTGACAGTAGAGAGCGTTCACCGCCGCTCTAATTCCTTTTCAAACTGGAGCAGATTGGCGCCTTTGAGTACAATGATGTGACCGATATGTAGGTCACTGAGTAATGGGATGGATCCCCTAATGTTACCCTTGTTGCAGAAAAAATGATACGCTCTGCAACACTAACATTGTGTTGTATAATTATACTATGTTTTGCATTACATGCATAGTTCATTTAGCTTCAAATGCATTTCGTTGGGTTAACAATAACCAACTTCCTCCCCAGTAGACTGACAGTTATCATAAAAACCTTACCTCGCTCTCTTCTCTCAAGAAACTCAGCAGCCCGGAGAAGCACCTGGATGTTGCAAATGGTTCCTTCCATTATAATTGTTGTTAAAAGAATAAAATCTCTGGTAAACAAGCAACTGAGGCGTAAGCGTCGGCAGTCAGGAGATGAAGCTGTGTCTGTGCTACGTCCTCGGTTGAGACCACAGAGCACTGGCGCTGCGTTCAGGTGTTCGGCGTAAACTCGGACATGTGATACTACCGTCAAAAAAATATCCGGAGGGCACAACGTTGATCTATAATAGAGACAAGGAGGACAATTTAACTAAAGTATTGGCACCTGGTGCCTCATTTTCGTTAGAAAAGAGAAACAAGTTTATATTTTGGTGACTTTTTATTTACTTTTTCATTGTATAAAGTTTTAAGGTTACAATTATAATATGTCCGAAAGCAAGTGAAGGCATCTACAGTCAACGTAAAACGTCATGTCAAAGCTCCCTCCCCTCCTCTTTGACAACACCTTTATTTTTCAAACATTCATTATTTTGGCGGACTGTATTGACTTGTGCTTGACTGATATTTGCATGCACTTATACTTGCTTTCCACTATTATATTAAAACCTAAAGAAAAACATGATATAAGATGGCCGTCTGAGAGCTAACCTAGTTGTGTAAAGCTGCATTGTTAGCTATGCTTTTGTTACACTTAGTATCATTTTACTCTCCCCCTCTTCCGATCGTATAAAAAACAAATGTGCATTTGCCTAAATCCATCTGATTATCTTACTATTCAAATATTTTCATTTACAATACGGTGTACATTTAACATGCATACTTTTAGTAACATAGAATAACATGGTATTATATATGTTGAAAACGCCAAAACAATCGTTTCCGTAGTTAATGTAGGCGAGAGGATATGTCAAATTGTATTTTCATTCACATAAGAAAGTGGGAGGGGAGGATTGCCCTTACCAAAGATGGCGGTGTCTGGCTTCAGTGCTTGCGTAAGGTTTCAGTTGTAGTCTCCCTATAGGAGTGAAGCCGCATTGCCAGCAGTATCTTTAACCTATGAACTCCTGAGTGTGCCAGTCCTCCGCCATATTGACTGTTGTCTTGACTGGAGGAGATAGAGAACATTTTGAGGTCCGAGAAGAAACGAAAGTGTGCTCTCCAAATCCTCGAAACTGGTGCAAACTTAGCCAAAGCGTATTATAAACAACACCGTAATGGCAAGGAAGAAAAGCAAGCAGCCAGGAGTCGCCCAGAAGGAGCTTGCGCCCGGACAGCAGACCGCACCGAAGAGCCCAGTCTCTCCCGGCGATGCAGCTGACGGTGGCGGCGGAGATGCTGGGCTGGATAGGCTGGCCAATACCAGGGCGAACCAGGTAGCTAGCAACAAGCCAATTGCTGCTTTTAAAACAGGCTAGCTAGCATCTGAGCTAGCATCACTCTGCTAATCCAAGCATCTTTCATTGTGCTATTTTCTTCTAGCTAGATTGTGCAGATGTGAAGTTATATGCATCCGCTGTCTGGTTGAAAGCTATTTGTATCGTTATGTAGTAGTCGTAGATGTTGTACTCTCACGTCGATTGATATGTTAATAAATAAATAATAGGCTCAACTTAGCCAACAGACTCGTCCCTAGCAGGCGGCGTTGAGGCTAGCTTTGCAGCCCAGCTTTGCAGCCCAGCTCCTCTGACGGACAGGTGACATTGTGCCTCGGACAGGTCGTCCCATTTAACAGCATTTACAACTATTCATCCGCACAGCTTACATTAGCCCGAAGGCTAGCTGGGCTATTATCTCCAGCTAGCGCGTTGCAAACGTGCTTAGTGCCTGCAGTTGAACCCAATACACAGGAACCACACAGCCAGCAGTAGCTAAACAGCTGCTAGCAAGCTAATTCGCTGGGTTAGCTGTACTAGATAACGAGTTCATAATAAAGCTAGCTAACTAGTTCGAGTTGTTTATTCGACTCTATCATACTGTTTACCTTTTTTGCTGTGTAGCACTACCGGAGTGTGACAGGAGCTCATGTTAAAAAAAGTTTAATGCATGCAGCTATCGGACAGTGATGCCTAGGCTTAGTAGGCTAGCTAAGTCGAAGTCAGTGTGTTAGCTAAGTTGAGGGTAAACACTAACCTTAGCCTTAAAAAGAGAAGATGCTACTGCAGGTTTTGACCATTGTTGCCTCAGCAACCATCTGACCTCAGAGCCTTACGTTTTCACATTTTAAACCACCACAACGGTATGATGCCAGTTTAGACACGTCCCAATACTACAGATTACATATTTTATTTTTAGGCAGAATTGTGTTATGCTATTGTAATTATCAACATTCACTAAGCTTTTATAGTATTATGCAACTGTACAATTATATCCATAAAATACTGTAAAACATCTCCTATATCCATAACTGTTTAGAGAGTTGTTGATTTAACCTTTTAGGTTTTGAATCACCTTTGTGTTATTCGTTTTAGCTGGATGCACTGAATAATAAACTGTAACTGAGTGTAAAATGCACACATAATCCATACTTTAAAAGGTCTGTTGACTGCCTACTATGTTTTGGTGACGATGTCATAATGTAGAAACTATCCTGACAGACATCTGACATAGTAGACCATATTTTTCTTTTCAATCACAGGCGCATACTCAACCTCTTTATCCTCTCTCTCTACCTAGCCTATGCACACCTGCTGCCTCCTGTGCCACCGAGAATTTAAGGACTGGGGAGCAAACTCTGTGAACGGACTCCCTGGGGGCCATGGGACCAAGCTGGCTGATGCCGTGCCTGCGCTCTCCCAGGCCTTATTGCGGGAGGCACCAGGGCGTAAGCTTGCTGATGCCGTGCCCTCGCTGTCTCAGTCCCTGCTGGGAGAGGTGCCTCTGTGGATATGTCAGAGCTGCTGCAAGAGTGTGGAAGAGGAAGAGAGGCGAAGCACCCAGGAGCAACCTGCGCCGGTAAATAAAAAAGGACTAATTTGGGTCATATGTCTGGATCCTTTTTTACAACTTCTTTGTACTACGTTTTAGTTTAACTGTGTTGGTTTCTGTCGACGGAGGCAACCTCTTCTTTATTCATCATACAAGGCATTGCATGTGCTTACCCACTAAATAAATCGTAGTTGTAAGTGTAGAGTCTTTTTGCATATTTAGTAGTACCTTATTTTGTATTTATGTCTCTGGCATATCTAAGGCAGCAGCAGCAGCTATCAACTCTGCTTTCTTAGTTTTTTTTCTAACACAAATGCTTTGCATGAAAGGCACATTTCAGACTTCTCTTTCATCTTACTTAAGCTTCACTTGAGATGAACTTGGTGTCCCAGATGTTTTGTTGATATTTGGTTCAAACATGCAAATGTTCAAAAAAAGTGAGGAATAAGGAACAGAATGAGAGACAGCTACCTGCAGTGATTTATTTTCATGTATTTTTTGTTTTGTTTTTTCTTAATATGGATTTTTGCTTGTCAATCTACTTTCAATGTATTACAAGCACATTTAGTTTGTTACTTGGTGCCAATAGGTTAGTCTACTGTATTTAAACAGCTCTGTGATTAACCAGTGTGGGCTTTGTTTTTTTTGTTTTTATGCAGGTACCATTGTCACACTCTTCCTCCTGTAAGTCCCAGAGCTGTGGGAACGGTTACCCGGAGCAAAGTACTGTGGATTGGGACCCGAGTTCCTTCCTGTCAGCCCACAAACTGTCAGGGCTCTGGAACTCTGCCCACACCAACGGAGGGGAGCACTGCAACCACAACACTTCTTCACACTCACAACCAGGTCTGTCTTTGCAGGGTAAAACACAGCTCCAGAAAAAATATCTAGTGACATTGACAGTAATTGCTGAAAACATCAAAGACCTACATTTCAGGCTGTGTTGCAAGTTACAGTTTTGTAAAATATACACAAATGTGGTTAGAATCCGTCTCTAAGGATGGCTTGTTAGCCTACTTAGTAACCAATAAATGTGTGATTTATTTTTGGCCACTTTGTTCAGGTGTTAGTTTATTAGGTCTTAGAAGTATAAAGAGGCATCTTGTAAAAGCTTACTTGTGAGGTAGATGCTTTTAAAAATAACACACTTTCCATCGAAGATGATTTGACTAAATCAGAGAATATGACTTGTGACTAAAAAAGCTAAAAGAATACACTGGATTACAAATCCACATTTAAATCTTTGTCAAATTTCAGGGATTACATTAAGGTCACAATCTGTTTGAATATATTCTGAGATAAACTTCAGAATTATTGAGCACTTATTGGATGCTTGGACCTTCAGCTTTTTAATATAAAAATACTTTAAAATTGACCCTTAAAACCCTCTTTTATAGGGCTGTGGTTGAAAAGTGATCATCTCTTACATAAAGTGTGATTTATTTCTTGAAATATTTAACTTCCTTAGATCTAATAGGGAATTGTGTTTGGTGATGGATATGATGGCTTTCCCAGTAAGGATTGTTTGGTGTAATAAAGTGAATGATGGTGGACATCGAAGTGCCTGCGTCAAGATGCATCAAAGCATTTTAAGATATAGTTGAATCATGTTGTATCCCAGCTAAATCATTGGACAGATATATCATTTGAGCATTTGTTGGCTCAATAGGACTGTATAACACATTTACTCGGGTGCATTACTTAGCTATAACATCGTCTAGCCATTGCAGCGATACCTGAGAGGAGAATGGAATGTGAAAGTGTGGCAGGTTGGTCCTGGGCCTGAGACGGGCAGTTGTTTTATAAGGGAAGCATTACATTTCAGACGGCTATGATTTTAGCTTTTGTCTATTTGCTTCCTGTTTCTTGGCTTTATTCAGACCACCTGTAGAGTTTACCGGATGCATAGTTATGGTTCTATCTCTAGTTTAGCTTACTCTCAAATGGGTCATCTTGCCAAATTGCATTTAACTTGAGTAAAGGAAATTAGTCATACTTGATGGCATTTGTGCTCAGTGAGTGCAACGGTACACTTTCTGCATGGACTCAATTTAATCCCAGGTGCCTGCCTTTGTTTAACTTTATTCCATTTAAAAGTTTGCAATAATAACAATAATGTTTTCAACTATAAATGATATTCCTGTTTTATAAATGGAATTAGAACCGAGCTAACTATAGTACTTCTCTAGATACCATTGCAGATGTTTAAGCTGGTATCTAAGGGGACATTTCTCAACTCATAGCCGGTGCCAGGCAGAATTGCAAAGTGAAAGTCTGGCTGATCG